CATCTACAGACATGAAAGCAAGAGAATGTGAAGAGCTCTAAAGTTTAGTCGGTGTATAGCAAGGGATGTTTTGTGTGTAACATGCCTATATTTTTTCTGTGTTTAGGATTTTGGGCCGACCATCAGCATTAAACGTGTGTTTGCTTTCAAAACCGTCTATGTAATGAGTGGCCGAACATGGCTGAATGGAGCCGCAAACAGGTAGTGTGAAGATATTACTGTTGTGGCAGTGTAACGCATGGGTGACTTATCTGTTACTCATGTAATGGAATTATTGATGGAAGATACCTTGACCCCAGGCTCAAGCTTTTAAGATGACCAGATGTCCAGTCTTTACTTCTTATGTTCTGCTTTTAATTTTTAGTCTAGTTTCGAGTGTCTGACAAATAAGCACAAGTAAGCATAAAATCATGACTTGTGACATTCTGTGGTTTCTGAGGAGACGATTGCAGCGTCCCCCATCAACCCCCCTTCTGATGTCCTAATGTTTTTATATATATATATATATATATATATAACCATTGAAATATGATTAGTATTGTAATTTCCCTTTTAGTGTGACTTCACCCATCCAGTTTTTGGCGCGCAAGTCACAAAGCTGTCTTTACAAAGTACTATATAATCTGTAAGCTTACACAATAAAATAAGGAAGTAATCTTTGAATCAAAAACTGTCTGGTCTGATTACTTTCTCCGAGCAGCTCGTAATTTAAAGTGTTAATTTGGTTTCCACCTGAACATATCTCCGGGTAAATTAATATCCTTAACACTCACGTTACTGCAAGATTTTGCGGCACTAATGTGATGCCGTAAAGCAGCGGCGGAAGCAGAATGCAGCGATTTCTTTAAGAGATGGCTGTCCAGATAGCCAGATGCTTGCCCGCCGGGATGTTGGCTTTGGCTAAGGATGGAGGCCGGTAGATTCCCAAATTCAAAACTGCGCGGTACTTTTTTGGCAGGAGTGATGCTGATGCAGACTGGAACCGGAAGTGACCATGATAGAGTCTGGATCAGTGTTGGCCCAGGGTAGAGTTTAGTCTGGTATAAATTGTCAGGTCTTCTGCCTGCGTGCCGCTCGCGTCGGCCTTGCTTACCCTGTTGCTGCGAGTGGCGCCATCTGGTCTCTGTCTGCAGTGTGCGGCTGTCTGACACTGCACGCTCCAGAGCAGCATCCTTATATGTGTGCCAGACCCGGTTATGTGACCCGGCACATAGTGATAATTTCACAGACCACAAGGGAGGGAAGAAACACAGACCACAAGGGAGGGAAGAAACACATCCCACGTGTTGTGGTTAACACTAATTGGAGGTTAGCCAATCAGACACACCCTGTGTGTAAATTAGGAAGCGTTTACGTCAGCTCTTGTTTTGCACCATCCTGACCCATCACTGCCTTTCATAGTTGAAGTGAATGTGTCTGAGTCAGGGGTTGGTGCAATCCTCAGGGGTTGGTGCACACACACTCTCACGAACAAACGCATACACATTAGATAACAGAAACACACATTTACTGACAGACACACACTCAGTGACAGACATACTTACACACTCATTGACAGACATACACACTCACTTACAAAACATACACTCTCACTGACAAACACACACTCACTAACAGACACCAAACAGACTCACTAACAGACACACACTGTCAGGCACACATAGTAACTGACACACACACTGACACGCAGACACACACTCAATAACAGACACACACAAACTAACACACACAGTAACATACGCGCACACATACACACACACACACAAACAAACACACTCACTGACACACTAGGAGACACACACTCAATAACAGACACACACAAACAAACACACAATTAACACACTCAGTAACTGTCACACACACAGTAACACACACACACTGACACACACAAATTCACACACACTAACACACATATACACACACATTCATATATTTTTTTTAAATTGAATCGCCCAGCCTCCCTACCTTTGGGAATACTAAGGGGATTCCCTGGGGTCCAGTGGAGCTGCTGGGCGGCCGGTCAGTGCGGGCACGCGAGGGAGCACGTGAGGCTGGCCCCCCTGGTGGGCAGGGCCTGGTCGGAGCTGCAACCCCTGTGACCGCTGTATGTACACCAGTGGCCGCTACCCACCTTGTGATCTCCTCCCTCTTCCTCGATAAGATAAAAGGTTACCAAAATCAAACACCACCCGAAACACCCACTGGTTTATTGTTCGTACAGGGAAGAGACATGACAAAAGTTATGGCATTATATCACAAGGCAAAGACAGTAGGTAACCCAGAGACAGCGGGTCACATCCTGTCTAGCCTTCTGCTAGACAGGATGTTAAGGAGTATGTTAAGGTTTGTGGAGTCTGTACTCAATCTAAGTCACCTACAAGCAAACCACCTGGTCTTCTTATGCCCCTTTCAGTACCCAAGACTCTTTGGATACACCTCTCCATAGATTTTATAGTGGACCTTCCCGCATCTGAAGGCCATACAGTCATTTTAATGGTGACTGACAGATTCTCCAAAATAGCTAACTTCATTCCGCTAAAGAAGCTCCCTTCTGCTGTGCAACTGTCTGAGGTCTTCGCAAAGGAAGTGTTCAGGCTACTTGGTATACCAGTAGACATAGTCTCTGACAGGGGTCCCCAATTTATATTGATGTTTTGGAGGGGATTCTGTGCAGAAATTGGTATATCTTTGTCCTTTTCATCGTCCTACCACCCATAGTCAAACGGTGCTGCTGAAAAGGCGATCCAGTCTCTGGAACTCTACCTGCGCTGCTTTATAATCGAGCACCTGGACAAGTGGCCCTGCCTTCTCCCATGGGCTGAGTTTGCCAGGAACACAGTCTCTCATGCCTCTAGTGTCTTAAGTTCTTTCCAGGTGGCATATGGTGTGCAGCCCAGCATCCTTCCCGGTGTGTTCTCCGAAAATGGAATATCAGCTTTGGACGACCACTTTGCCGCTCTGCGGGAAATGTGGGATCAGGTCCGTGTAGCTCTCTCTCGTGCAATCGAGTTCCATAAGAGGTTCGCTGATCCCCACTGCAGCACCCAGCTATGTACCTGGTGATATGGTTTGGCTGTCTACTAGGAACGTGCGCCTCTTTGCGCCGTTCATATGGTTTGTTGATTGGTTTTGTGTCCGTTCATGCTTTTAGCCGTTCACCTAAAATTTTGCTGTTCGATTGCATTTTGGCTGTTCACTTGAATTCTGGTGAACGTTCGTTTGTTCACACAAATGGTTTGTTCGCCTGTTCATTTGTCTGTTCGTTTGCCTGTTTGTTCACCTGATTCACACAGGTGCTCTGTGTGTGGTGTCAGACGCCTTTTTAACAGCGCCTTGGTTCTCACACATGTGGGAATCATTCTGGTGAATGCTGCATTGCTTCCAGGGCCGGACTGAGGATACAAAGCAGCCCTGGAAAAAAAAATTGTGCCAGCCCCATAAGTCACTGCGCCATATATTGTCGCGTGTAATATGTAAGGCTATGTCTTGCCAGGACAGATGATTGAGTAATATATATATATATATATATATATATATATATATATATGCTTTTTCTAATATAAAATATTGGTCCTTTCAGGGTAAAACGTTTAATTATACAGTAAGCATACTCACATGCAGACACAGGCAATTTCACTGACATTTCAGTGACACACACAAGCTCATTGATACACAGCCTCATAGACAAACAATCTTACTGATATACATCAGCTCATTGACATAAAAACACAAGCTCACTCACTAGCAGGCACACGCATGCAAGCAAGCTCACTCACTAGCAGACGCACACACACAGCTTAATGTGGTGGTACTGGTGTCTATAGCATGTCCCTACAGGCTTTTCAACGTAAACACTGACTTTTCAGACAAAAGGCAGTGTTTACATTGCTTCAAAGTGACACTGCTAGTGACAGTCACTCAGACGGTCACTAGAGGTGCTTCCTGTGTTAGTGCCCTCCCGCCCTCGCGCGCTGCTGAATGAGACTGGCGCCGGAATATGACGTCATATTCCGGCGCCGGTCTCATTCAGCTGCGTGCTGGGGAGCAGAGCCAGCGCAGCTCGCGCTCCCTCAGCGGCCGCCAGGACAAGTCCGCCAGCGGCCGCCAAAAGACCTCCCCAGCGGCCAGGGGAGGGCTGGCAGCCTTAGGCCTGGGGGGCAAAACCAGTCAAGTAGACTGGTGCACCTGCCCAGGATCAGAGCCGGTGCAAGGATTTTTGCCGCCCTAGACAAAATAAAAATTTGCTGCCCCCACATGTCACATCACAATGCCCCACCCATATGAACTAACGCCAGTGCTGCACACAGTGTGTGTTTACATTAAAAAGCCTGCAGGGACCAGCTATAGACACCAGAACCACTTCATTAAACTATAGTGTCCCTTTAATGTGAGGTAAATTATAGATTAGTGTCACTAATAATATACTAGATTGCCTATTTACAAGCAGATGAGGATGATGATGGGCTGCAGTTTGGCTCCACTGGTCTGGTGTAGAACAGGATCTCTGGAGGCTGTTTGCAACTGTGGTCACAAAATTCAATGTTCTGGGAGAATTGGAAGCAGCTCAATTTTTTGGGGGCCCCTTACACAGCTCAAGGTCTGGGCCCCAGGGCCTGACAGTGAGTATGCCCATAAGGCCCACTCATAAGTTCCACCCACCCGTGAGTTCGCTCACAGGGAGTGGAGTGTGTAGGGGATGTGTTATGTGTTATTGTAGAGGATCTAATATGTGTGCTTATGGTATGTAGTGTTTAGGGTTACCAGTTTGTGCAGGTGATGCAGTGTGTTTGTGTGTAGTGGAAGCAGTGTGTATTTGTGCATAAGGGATGTATTATGTGTTTCTGGTTGTGTGTAAGGGATGCATTGTGTGAATCTGTGTTGGTATGCATAAGGGATGCAAGGTGTGTGTCTGTATGTGTGTGCATGGAGATGCATTGTGTTTCTGTGTGTGCAAGAAAAAGAAGTGTGTGTGTTTGCATGCGTGTGTACGGGTTTGCATTGTCTGTTTCTGTGTATGTGTGCAAAGGATGCATTGTCTTTGTGTGTAAGGGTTGTACTGTGTGTGTGTGTGTAATGGATGCATTGTGTGTTTCTCTGTGTGTAAGGGAAGCATGTTGTGTTTCTGTGTATGTATAGGGATGCATTGTGTGTGTGTGCGCGCGTAGTGTGAAAGAGCTCCCTGTCTTGGCCCCTGTCCTATAGAGCTGCCCCTTCTTCTTATTCCCCCCCTCCCCTTCTTCTTCTTATTCCCTCCTCCCCTCTTCTTATTCCC